TTAAACTATAACTTATAAATTTTATTTTAATATAAAAACAAAAATTATTTTTTAATAAATTATAAACTTAATATAAAGAAAAAATTTTAATTTTTACTATATTTTATTAATAAAATTAATATTTAATTACAAATTTTTGTTCACCAAGTATAATAAAACTTAGTATAATTAATAAAGTTATTGAATATTATTTTTGCTTATTATAATACAAATATATATTACTTATTTTTTTAAATAAAATACTTAGTCTTTCTTATTTTAATTTATTTTCTTAATTTCTTAAATTAATAAAATATATGAAAATATATAAATACAGTCAAATTTCTCTATAGTTACCACATCTGAAAAAGCAAAATTTTGGTAATTATAGAGAGAATGTAATTATAGAGATTTTTTTATTATATTTATATATAAATAGGAAATTAAAATAGAATAACTATAAAGAAATGTGACTATAAACAAATATAATTATAAAAAGATTTGACTGTAATTTAAATTTATAAAAATAGTAATAATATCAAAAAATATTGAATTTAAAGAGCAAAATTTTTTTGTTTATAAATATAAAGAAAATACCTGATTTATATTTATATTAATATAAAAAATATATAAATTAAAAATTATTAAATATAATTTGAAAAAATTTTATAAAATAAATTACAAAAAAATTATAAATATTAATATAATTAAAAAAATATCAGAATTTTAAAAATAGCAAATATTAAATATTATATAATTAATTAAGAAAATTTTAATAAAATAATATAATTAATTTTTAATAAAAATCAAAAAATAAATTGATATTTTTATATTTAATTAAAAATAAATTTATTTATTTATATTTTAGATATTCTGAATTATTTTCTATATTTAATTTATTTATTAATATTTTAGATATTTTGAATTATTTTTTATATTTATTCAACAAAAATTATAATAAAATTTTAAATAAATTTATTTATTAATATTTTAAATATTTTAAATATTTTAAGAATAAAGTGTATAATATTATTAAGTTATAAAGTTTTTATTCAAAAACCATTTAAATTATTTGTTTTTTAAAAATCAAGCAATTTGATTGATTCTTAAATAAAAACTTTATAACTTAATAATATTATTATTTTACCTTTAAATTATAATCAAATCTCTTTATAATTATACTTATTTATAATCATATTATTCTATAGTCACTCTATTTTGCTTTTCCATTTACATATAAATATAGTAAAAAAATTCTATAATCATCAAAGTTTGCTTTCTAAGAGTGGTAATTATAGAGGAATTTGACTATAGTTTTTATATTTAATTTGATAAGAACTAAAATAATTAAATAATTTGAATTATTTTTATATTTAATTTAATAAAAGTTTTAATATTAATTTTTAATTAGCTTTTATTAAACTTAAATTAGATTAAATATTTCAAAATATTTTCTGAATATAATATTTAATCTAGAAAAAATCTGATAGAAACTAATTAAAAATTATTAAAAAATATTTTAAAATATTTAATTTGAATTAAGTTTAATAAAAAATTATTAAAATTAATATCTAAATTTCAGAAAGAATTCTATTTTTTTTTACAAAATTAGTAATATTATTTAATTAATATTATTAATTAAATATTAATATAATTAATTAAATTAAACAAAATATTAATAATTATATTTCTTTTAAGAATTAGCTATAATAAAATTATTTTTTTATAATTATATTTATAATAAAATTATATTATATTATATTTTTAAAAAAATTACTATAATATAAAATAATTATATAAATATAATAAAAATTTTAAATTATTTATTATAATATACTTAATAAACTTTAAATTATTTGACTTTTTTGTAAGATATTATTATTTTGTTTTATTAAATTAGAAAAGTTATTATTTATTTTGTTTATTAGAAAAAAGCTTTGTTTTTTATTATTTAATATTATTCTCTTTTTTTATAGTATTTTTGAATTGAAAATTCTTCATATTTTACAATATCTTGACATAAACTTTCGAATATTTATAAATAAATTTCTATGTTTATAAGTTTGTAATTTAATTTCCAATTTATTATCACTAAAAGAATGGCTTTGAGGTTAAATTAAGTGATAAAGTTTTTACAAGAAAGATACTCTAAGCAGTGCTATGTGATAGTTAAAGAATTTGCGATGCTGATAGTAAATAAATTCACACTCGCATGCAATTATATCTTATCATTAAATTTAAAGAACAACGTTATCCCATTTTGTTCTCATTAGCAGCGATTGCTCTTTGTTTATCAGTTTTTGAATAGTTTTGTTCAATTATCTTCTTCCAACTTAATTTTCAACAGCAACTGTCCCTTGCCATCTGCGTCTTCTTCAAACTCTGTCTCTGTGATCGAGAGATTATTAAGGAACGATATGGCAGTATGAAGCTTATGTCGACGTTCTTGTGCCTTTGGAAATTCCTAGATCAAATTAACCATCAATTTCGTTTGATATTCATTAATCCCTCGACCCTTAATCGTCATCAATTTTGACTAAATAAGTTATCAAGTACCTGACCAAGTTGAGGTAGATATATTTCTTTGTACCGCTCGTTAAGTAAAGTCTCTAGTACACGACCTATTGTCGAACCGAGATTTTCGGGGTACAGGAAATCGGCAATACTTTTCATGTATTCGATACCCAATTCCCGTTTTTCTTCTAGCTCGGGTATGCTTTTTGTCATCTTAATGATTATATATCAATGATAAGTATCGATTTATATCCGTTTTATGTCGAAACATAAATATCGAATTTACCTCGGATAAATCAACGTCTATATTTTCAAGATATGAACTATAAATCGCTTCAAATTCACATATATCATCATCTTTTTCTTATCAAACAAAACAACAACTATTAGTAAGGGTATTAATTTACTATACTCAGAATGCGAGAATATTATAGAAATGTGATTGACTGATGATCTTCTTACGATGGCCCATGAATATCACCTTGCTTCTTTTTTGTGCGTCCTTGAAAAACTTTAATTGTTTTTCGTAAGATGCCCAGATATCTTTATTTTCATTATAACAAGGATATTGAAAATCAGATGTCTTGTCATATCGAATAAAGTAAATAAATAAATAGGTCAAACAATTGAGAAAGTCACCGTTATCTTGCTGCTGCTCACTTTTCTTGAGAGAATCCAATGGACTCTGAGTTTCTTGGTGTTGTAATAATAATAATTGTTGTTTCTCGTTAATTTGGACGTCGATTTCTCTAATTTGGTTTTGTAGGGTTTCTATCTCAGAGAGAATAATGTTGTTGGTTGAGGACATAATGTTGTTGGTTGAGGACTATCAAATAACATAATTATCACATTATTGATATTGCTGGGTAAAAAGTGACTGTTAGATTAATTAATACTACCACCTACTCTTGTGTCAAAGACTCGAAGCTTTGATTCCTATTTCAATAAGATTTAATAGATATTTTATAAAGTCTAAGTGCACAAGTCATCTAGATGATCTTGCAAATTTTTGTCTGATTCATTTTCTTATAATAAACAAATACCTTTTTCTGCATCTGTTCTGCTAAATCTTCCACTTTTTTAGTCAAATCGATCCGTCGAGCCTTTAACGATTTTAAATTTTGCTGTTGCTGCTTTTTTTGTCGTGACAGAAACAGTTTTGCGCTACTGTTATTATTATTACTCTGATCTGTGTCCTTCTTGGGTTGATTAGTTTCGTTTAGAGTATTGGCAAGTTGTAATGAATCTAGTTCAATTTCTTGTTTGTCTATCTAAAATTAATTGATAACTAAAATATCTTAATTAAAATTCCAAAAGGACAGTTTTTCATAATGCAATTTATTTTATATAAGGACCTCTTCTTGAAGTTCACGCTCTCTTTGCTCTAATATTGTTAGTTCTCTCTCGGCCTGTTCGATCAACGACTGGATTTTAGGAGTAAGTTCTGTCGCCAGATTTTTTTGTGCATCATTGACATCGCTTTCGGTGATAAGTTCATATTTCTGTATATTTCATATAGAAAATAAGAACGTCTTGATTATTGATACTAGTACACTTGCAGAAAATGGATTCGATACACGTATTGATTCAATAAATGCATTGACATTGGAACATACCCTCTTGTAGCCCAGCACCTTATTCAGCCGAGAAAAATCACATGTGCCAGTTTCGAGCCTCTTTATTGAAGCCTGAAGCTATATAATGTTTCAAATGATAAGACAATATCAATTAAAAAATTATGAAGTTAACATGTTTAGAGACACGTTTTTTTATAAACACCCAACTAAAAGTGAGCTGTTTTGTAGCTTTTCAACGCATCTTTCAAGATTTTGAATATAGACTGGCGGTAGTATGGTAGAAGAACCGGTGACGGCAAGATTAGAGAGCATTTTTTGGGTCATAATAGTTTATAACAAAATCGCGTTCACTTTACAAAACACGTGCTAGATATAATATCATTTTCGATAATAATTCATTATACCCTAAAAAGGAGTGATATTTTTTATATTTTTGTATTTGTAACAATTGTTATTTGTCACCAATTTAACATAATAAATATGAATAGTGTTATAATATATTTTAATATCTATAGTGAAAGACAGCCAGTTACACAAACTTGTTTCAAAATTTTAAATATGTATCCGACCTTATAATTTGGGATCGGAACCAATAAAATTATAGAATTTGTATAATAAGTTATTATAACAAACTTTTAATCTTATATAAAGTAATCTAATTGGCTGAATTTAAGCACTATGTTAAATTAGAGTATCAATTTATTATTGTATACTGAAATCAGAAACATATATATTGTGGCGGATTAAAATGAAACCAGATTAAAACAAAACAGAGTGTGATGTTTAAATAATCATAGGTCAATTTACTACAGATTTTAATGCTATACCCTATGCTCTAACCTAACCCTAACCCTTCTCTGAAATTTTTATTCCATAAAAATAGATCCAAATTTTATTTTGATTTGATTTTATTATAATCTGGTTTCATTTTAATCTGGTTTCGTTTTAATCTGTCACATATATTGTTATAATAACAGTAATTTCATAAATTCAAAAAAATTCTAAATTTTAAAAATGATTGAAAATATTAAAATCTCTAAAAAATAAGTAAACTCTAAAAAATAACAAAAAATAATTTATTAAATATTTATTTCATCATTATTTTTCATTATTTTTCATTATTTTTCATTACTTTTTATCATTTTTTATCATTATTCATCATTTTTATCATTTTTCATTACTAATTATTATTATTTTTTATCACTTTTTATCATATTTTATCACTTTTTGTCATTATTTATTAATTTTTATCAATTTGATTATTCTCTATTACTATTGTTTATTATTTTTCATTATTTTTCTTTAGTTTAATTATTTTTTATCACTTTTCATTATTTATTATTTATTATTAATTTTTATTCTTTTTATTATTTATTATTGATTAGATAATTATTACTATTTGAAATTGTATTTTAAAAAATATATAAATAGAGATGTCATCTGAGTCTTAATTCGACATGTTGTAACTGAAAATAAAAATCACTCTTAATAAAAATCTTCTTTCAAACACTTTTTGTATTTTATATTTTTTTATACATTTCAAAACTTGTATATAAGTAATTTTATATTGTATTATATCTAACAAATTGCTAATGACTTTATATCATATTGCACTGAGCAAATTGCTATTATTGGATTATTGAGTTTTATATCATATTGTGCTGAATAAATCACTTTATTGAAATTATTAAAATTGAATTATAAGTATTTTAATTTTTGTTATTTGAATTTTTGATTGTTAATAAATATTTCTCATTCATAAGAAAGAGTCTTTGTTATTGTTATTACTAATTATATTGTTCTAGCTCTGGAAAGCTTTATATAAATACAGAGAATTAGTCTTTTAAATTCTTTTTACTATTCTTTTATTGTTCTTTTATATTCTCTTTTCTTTTTGACCTTTACTTCTCCATAACTTTCTCATATTATTATTCCTTTTCAAGTAAATATAATAGAAATTGGCATAAATCTTAGATATCTCTTTTAATATTTTTATCAATCTATTATTTTTTTCTAATACAGGTTCAAGTTTGTAAGTAAGAATGCTTGCTGAAATCTTTTTAATAAATGCTGAAATACCAAAATTCTTATTATAAGTAGTAATTACTATTGTCAAAATGACACAGTAATGCCAAAATAACACAGTAAATAAATTTCAGCATAATAAATAATTTTGGCATTGTTAAAAAATTTCAGTATAAGTGGGTAATTTTGACATTATTCAAGTAATATTAAAATGATGCAATAATGCTGAAATGATATAGTAAATAAATTTGACATAATAAATAATTTTAATATTATTAAAGAATTTCAGTATAAGTAAATAATTTTGATATTATTAAAGTAATATAATATTAAAAAGATATATTAATAAATT